CAATAATTTTGCCATAATGGCAATACTATTAATAAAATCTTAAAGGATGGCTGAATAAAAATATGTAAATATTTTCATAAATCAGATGACATGTATGGATGGATGGATGGATGGACAGGTGACAGGTGGTGGACGATGGAAGGGCAGATGAATGACACAGAGTATCTGCTCTCCATATGATAGCCCAGATGGCTTTTTAACCATGAAAACTGGATCATGTCACTCTCTCATAAAAACTTCATGCATGGGAATCGACCCAAAAACATAACGAAGAAAATAGAAAGCAAAGGGCAGAAGAGTGTATGGAGCAGGTTATCAGTTGTTGGCTTGCATGGCAGTAGGGAAGGAGCTTCATTCCTGTTATGAACTTTTTGAATTCTCAAATATATGCACATAAATACAAAATTAAAATACTTTATTCTTTTTCATAATTCCAAGGTATTCTAAAATAACCATGTGTTTCCTTTTTGTAATTATATTTAAAGAATACTTCAAAAATAAAGCACCTTTAATAGCCATACAGCCTTCGGAGTGAGTTCCTCATCGTTTTAAAGCCATTTATGTAGCTATGATGTTCTGAATGAACAGTTTGAAAAATAGAAAACTTTGTTACCTCCATTTAAAATACACATCCAGCCTGGCTGGTGTAGCCCAGTAGTTGAGTCTTGATCCATCAATTACTAGGTTATGGTTCAATTCTCAGTCAAGTCAGGGTACATGCCCTGGTTGTGGGTCCATCTCCAGTAGGGAGCGTGCAGGAGGCAGCCCATCTATGTTTCTCATCATTAATCTCTTCTCTCTATCCCATTCCCTTCCCTTCTGAAATCAATAAAAACATATTTATAAAAAAATAATAAAATAAAATACGCAGCCATCTTTCTTGGCTCGGATCAAATATATACTGTTTACTTCCTAGTTAACATTTATGATTTATGTCAGTGGCTCTAAACCTTTAGCAAGCTAGAAATTTTCCCAGGGAGGTTGCTAAAATGCAGATTCTCGGGGCCCTATCCCTAGACATTCAGAGTCAGTGGGTCTAGCCCTGAAATCTGCATTTTAACCCTACCAAAAAAGATTCCCATGTAAGTGCGCTTAGTCCACACTTTGCAAAGCATTCATCCATCACTTAAGGGAACTCCATTTATATATATATGTGTGTATATATATATAAAAGTGACAATCCTGCATAGTATAGACTTGAGATCTGATGACTGGCCCCCCCCCCACACACCATATATTTTTTAAACACCCATACCATGTTACATGCGTTACATGCCTTACAGTGCGATCCTCTGTGCACTGACCTTGCCTTCTCTCTCAGCTTTTGGAGAGTGAGATTCAAGTCTTCATCTAACCCAGTGCTCCACTGTTGTGAAATAAAAGTGTGTGACAGAAACCAAAGCATACAGGTCAAATGCTACTTTCTTGGCTTAGGGATCAAGTTTCTCTGGCGGCTGTGTAAGTTCCCAGCCTTTTCCCCCCACAGAGCTCAGATATGGACAAGCACAGGACTAACCCCCTCGACTGCTACATCTAGAGGGGCTGTTGTTTTAAATGTGTGTATCAATCACTCTGGCGGCTTTCTGTGCCTTCCCCAGGACCTCTGATGAGCCCTTTCCTTTGTGAATCTTAAAGAGAAAAGGCCATTTGAAGAAGCAGCAGAGTGAAGAGCAAAAGCCAAGAATGTTTAAGTGTGATGGGAAGAGACCCACGAGGCACAGCGGCAGCTCTCTGCAACCCCCTGGTGGCAGGATGCTCCAAGCATCCCAGCCCCACCCGCATCCCGGCTCTCACAGTGGACTCAACAGCAGAGGCTCATGAAATGTCTCAGCAGCAAGCCCAGGGAGCCTACAGAGACTTGCTGGTAAACGGTTAACAGTGTGAGTGGCAGGAAACAAAAACACACAGTTAGACTTTTACTTTCTCCAGTCCAACCGAGGAACTGTCCAACACTGGCTCTACCAACTCTGTAACTTCCTTCTTCTTTTTGTACAGCTTGTGAGCTTACTCTTAACGTGCAGATCACCCAGCCTCAAAACACAATCCTCACAGCACCAAAGAGAAACGCCTAAGCCATCACTGGTAAAACTCAAGCTTTTTCAGAACCATCCTTCATCCCACCCAGACCTGGAGCCCTCAGTGCAAAGTGCTTGTCCCAGAGGCAGGACTGGGATGGCTGAGCCTGAAGAACGGAGGAGACTGAGAGAGATGGCTCACAGTTGGAGGACCCTCAGCATCCACTGAGATTAGGATAAGGATATCCTGGGGTGGCGATTACCGGGGCGGCTCAAATTCTTTGGGTAAAGAACTGCCTGGAAGAGACTGAGTCTTGTGTCTGGATTCTCCTTCTTCAGGAATCACTAGGTGGGCAGATTTTATTCAAGGAATAAATGCAGCCCTGCTCAATGCTGGGGGACATCTGATGGCATTTTGGGGTCTCTTCCAGCCTTCCAAACAGAAGCTCATTTAATTGCTCCTATGAATAGGCAAGATGGGACAATGTAAAGACGAGCAAAAGCCAATTTACTTGTAAGATTCGGACAGAAACGACTTCACCCCTGCACACAGCTCTTGCGGGGAGTACACGCAGCTCTGAGGTTCGCATTTCCTGATGACAGACAAGCCTTTTGATGGAGGCTGCTTGCTGGGCTAACGGTCAGGCCCTGCGTGGACCTTCTGAGAGTACAGGCCTTTCTAAATTCCGGAAATCAGATCGCACTTAAAGCTTAATGGTCTGATCAGAATGGCAATACATATAGTCCCTGCCTCTCTTCCCCGCCAAGCATTTAATTGGTTCACACCCCACTTTTCCTAGAAGTTAATCCTGGCATTATGTAACCTTTGAGAAGAAATGAGCAAGGAGAGATGACAAATAGTTCCCAGAAAATCCTAAGAAAGCAGGGCTTCAGGCAACCTGGGCTCAGCCTCAGGAGAAAAACAGCAACTCTTCAAAGAGCACTAGTGGTCCATTCATATGTTGTTCTCTTCTATACTTATGAGAAGTCTCTACCTTGCTGGGACTAGCAATTGAACCCAATTACTAATTGAGAGTTCCTAATTGAGAACATCTCCTCTGTAATAATTCCTAATTGAGAGTTACGGGCACCTTGTTTTAGGGGAAAGTCAGAGTTATAGTCTTAAAATGCAAATTAATTATTTCCTAAACAATGCTTATTGGTCAAAGATATTTCTTCTATCCTGGATTCATGTGGCTCAGTTGGTTGAGTGTCAATCAATGCTTCTCTCTCTCCCTCTCCCCTCCTCTCTCTCTCTTTCTCTAAAAATCAATAAAAACTTATTTTTAAAAAGATATTTCTTCCTTCATTTAGATTTTATAAAATGAAAAATCCCAAGGAAAATATCAGGAAAATGCCTGGCTGGCATGGCTCAGAGGTTGAACATCAACCTATGAACCAGCAGGTTGTGATTCGATTCCTGGTCAGGGCACTTGGCTGGGTTGTGGGCTCAATCCCTAGTCATGGTATGCAGGAGGCAGCCAATCAATGGTTTCCTCTCATCATTGATGTTTCTATCCCTCCCTACCTCTCCCTTCCTCTCTGAAATCAATAAAAATACATTTTAAAAGTATCAGGGAAATGAAGAAAGACTTAATAAAATAAATCAGAAGACAAAATCATGCATCTTCAATATAATGAAAACCTGCATGTTTGTTAGGGATTCTGTTCCCCATACTCTTTACAGATCCACTTCAGACAGAAGTCATGGAAGAAAAGACTTCTTTATGAACTAAAGTGATTTCTGCTCAATGGGCTGACTCTGAGGGACAGCCAAGCTACCAATCAGCCAAGGGCTGGCGAGAGGAGCAATGCATAGCAGAGTTTTCAGCAATGGCTGAAACTTCGCCCAGGTTTAGTTGGCTACAAAATGTGATAACTGAGAACATCTCCTCTGTACTCCTTCTATTACTAAAACATATATCTCTCTATTACTGGAAACGCTTATTTTATTTTATCTACCACTCCACTCCTGTCCAGACTGTATGCTCAGTGAACTGGGGATATGTGTGCTTTTCTCATTATCATATCTCAAGCACCTGTATTCCGTGAACAAAAGCTAACTTTAAATTGTGCTGAGATTTTGCTGAAATAAATAAATCATGCAAAAATGAAAAGAAAAAAAATAGTAAGACCTCCATTACTTAATAACATCTCATAGGTATTAAAATTACTTTCATAGTATCAGAATTAATAACTGAATTCTGAAGTGGGAAACCTGCTGAGGAATCACTAATTGCTTAAAATCTTAAGTTTGGAAAACACTATTGCTTTAAAACTACAGTCCTATTACTCCTCAGTATGATCCATTAAAAAGTTTTTAAGGGTTTTCTTTGCTCAATTTAAATGAACCCAAACTCTAACTCTGTACCGGAAGGAGAAGGAACACTGAAAGCAAACCTATTACCACTATTTACAGTTTCTCACCAGAGGCCCACGGGCAGAGGCACTGCTCACTCCAAACAGGAAGCCACCACGCAGCCAGCGAGTCTGGATTCCGCTTCCAGGCTCCCCTCTGTACACACTGGAGAATTTTTTCCGACTGACTTCATCATTAAGAACTATTTATCAAATCCTCCCATATTGACTTGGTGAAATCCCTCCCCACATGTCACCAGGCCTCTGTCTTCTCTCGTCTTCCTTCACTGAGTCGGGGCAGGATCAATGAGGAGAGTGGAGGATGGAGATGGGAATGGGGTCTATCTCTAAATATTAATAAAATAGTCATTAATATTTTGCAAACTATTAATGACTGAAAAAGCAAAGCAAAACAGAAAGAAAAAACAAAACTTTCAACTTAAACTTTCCAGGAAAAGAAAATGCTGTAACTATGAAATGACTTACAGAGAACATTTACTTTTAGTGTACAGTCCCATGGACATGACCATCACAACCACCAGCTGGCTGTTTTCAGTCAGCTCCCCGGGGCCTCGGTAGTGCTCTAGAACCATCTCTCTCAGAATCAGGACACAAACAGGTCTCCTCTCCAGTATGTAATTTTTATCATTGTATCAGATACACAGTGAGTATCTTTCAGGGAATTTCACCCAAACCAAAGAGAAGTTCAAAAATAAAAACTGCAGCAGATCAGGGAAAACAGGTCAAATTGTGCGGTCACAGGACTAACCTGCAAGCAAGCTGTCCTTAGTCTGGGGCACCTGAACAAACCCTCAAGTCCAAGGCCAAGGGCTAGGAGGGCCAAGGCGTGCAGGCGGCTAGCCAGGGACAGCAGAGCGGCTCCTATCTCCCCTGCAGGGGTCTAAGCTGAAGCTCGCGCTCTAACTGCTCTGCAGTCAGGGTGCCCTCGATGGCTTCACAGCCCGGGTTGAACACAGAGTAGGCGCTTTTCTCTCCCTCCTTCTTCTCCCCGGGACCTCGCATCCCGACGTACATCCAGTAGAACAAGGACAGGACAAAGTAAGCCAGGCCGAATTCCAGTTCCGCAAACAGTCCCAGCAGGATCAACCAGAGGAGAACCTTCAAGAAGGTGATGCTGGTCAGGAAGGACTGGTCCCGCGGCAACGGTGGGGGGACGGCTGTCCTCTGTGGGGGCTGTGGCGTCCCGCTCCCAGGCTGAGTGGCTTCCTAGGACACAAACAAGCGAAGGTAGAAATAAAGGGTAATGAGGCTGAGAGGATGAAAGCCAATCTGGAGAGGCCGCTCTCATTGTCCCCGGAAGGCTTCTGGCTCATTGATTTCTATTTCCTTGCCCTGCTCTCTAAAACAATCATCTCCCAGAGAGCTCTTGTGCCCCGCTCCGACTGGACCAAGACCGGTCAGCACTTAGTGAGATGACCCGATGAAAACCCTACAGCACTCAGATGGGTTCCCTTTGTGGGAGGCACTTCCTCAGACGAGTCTGCTGCTAACAAGAGCTAATGTGTGCCCCCCACAGAAGCTCCCCAGTAATCGGTAATGCAATAGCCACGCGTATGCTTCACACAGGATCGATGTCCGTTGATTTGATTAGATGAGCTAAAATTTTGAGTGACATGATTCTAAAATGAGGACTACACCAGAAACAGGAAAGAAAACTCCTCTACATATTAAAAAAATAAAAATTGCTGTTTCAGCTACAACCTTGCCACCCGGTGGCCATCCCACACATCCCAGGCCCAGGCAGTGCCTCCTAAGTGGACTCTCACCTCCTATCTCTCCCCTCCCCACGCCATTCTGTGTACATACAGTTGCTAAATGAATCTCCTAAAACACCCATCAACCTCCTGTTCACAAGCCTTCAACAAATTTTTATTGCCTAGAGGTTAAAATTTAAACTCTTTGGGCTGCAATCCAAGGCCTTCCATTTACTTAGCAGATAGAAATGCCAATACACAGGCTGCTGTGCTGGCGCTAACGGGAGACACGGGGACTTAGGCCGTTTTAGGGAGCTGGTCTCTACTCCGGTATTTTTTCCAAACCTCTTTGGGCATGACCGAGAATAAAAGATACATTTTATACTGTGACTTAGCATGCATGTGTATATGTATATGTATATGTATATGTATATGTATGTGTATGTGTATGTGTAGGTGTAGGTGTATGTGTATGTGTATGAAATTTTAAAAAGTTTCACAAATCAACAAATATCTTCACATCATATGAAGCTGTCATTTTCTATTCTATTTTATTTTAACAGAGGACTAGATTTCTCTAAATTGATGTCAACACTCACTAAAGCACATGTGTCAAACACACGGCCCGCGGGCCAAATCCGTCCCGCCAGGCCTTGCAATGTGGCCCACACCACGCTGTCATCACTGCACTCCGCTGCGTTTCCATCACAATGACAGTTTATGACTGTACAGTAAACCATTCGGCCCGCGATTTAGGCTGAATTTTAGATTTTGGCCCCTTCTCTGATTGAGTTCGACACCCCTACACTAAAGGGTCATGACTTGCCATTTGAAAAATGCTCTAAGAAAGTTTCTGCACGGCACAATCTGAAACTGTACAAATGAACCCTCTACTCCAGTTCAACTGGTCTCACTACAGAGGCCATTGCCTGACTGGCCTGGAATCGCCTCTGTCCCTCTCCATCCCCGGCTCCTTGCCTTCCTTCCGGGCAGCCATGACTGTGCGCTGTGCATGCCTTGGTCTCTCCACCACTGAGAAGGGTGCCCAGCCTCCCGGGCACTGACTGGCTCTGGCTCACTGAGCACCCAACTATTCCGCTAGTGTCTCTTTTATTTATTTATTTTGGTAAGTTAAACTCACAAAAAAATAGAAACAGACTCACAGAAACAGAGGACAGATGGACAGCTGTCAGGGGCTGGGTGGAAAAGGTGAAGGGAATGAGCAAAGAAAAAGAACTCATGGACACAGGCAGCAGTATGGTAATTTACCTGAGGGAAGGGGAGGGTGGGGGAGGGAGGAGAGAGTAAAGGGGAGTGGGGTAACGTGATAGAAGGAGACTTGACTTGGGGTGGTGAACAAACAATACAATAATATACAGATGTCTATTAAAAAAGAAATTGTCTCAAAAAATAACAAATCTGAGGTAAAATAATACTTACTGAAGTGTCTCTCTCTTTTTTTCTTATCCTTACCTGAGGATATAATTATTGATTTTAGAGAGAGGGAAAAGGAGAGAAACATTGATGTGGGAGAGAAACATTAACTGCTTGCTTCCCATACTCGCCCTGATTGGGGATCAAACCTGTAACCTTTCGGGTGTAGGAGACGGCGCTCCACCTAACTGAGCCACCTGGCCAGGGCTGAAGCTGCTCTCTTTTAATATAGGTCACCTGTATCCTAGATAGTCACCATGAAGACACAGACTGCTATTTGTCATCTTTTGTTGTCTCCAGAGCCAAACAAAGCACTAACACCTAGGTTCTCAATCCACAGAAGAACTTTTAGTTCATTTCTCCAGTTATATCTCCTCTTCTTCACTTCACTTCATTTTATTTTTAAGATTTTTTTTTCCATTTCATTTTAAAAGGACCACAAACTATATTTGGTTTCAATGAAGTATACAGGTCGCCCTGGCCAGGTGGCTCAGTTGGTTGGAGCATCATCCTGTACAATGAAAGGCATTTATTAAATAGATAAAGGTCCTTTTTGGATTTGTCAGTGTGCACAATAGGAAAATCTCTGCAGATCTCAATGGGAGCTAATACAATCAATTGATAGTTCAGACTGCTCTGGCTGCCAGGTAGAGAATGGGCTTCAAGGGTAGAAATAGGGAAACTGTTAGTAGCAGGAGGCCCAGTGAGAGAGGACCAGGCAGAGATTAAGGTGGTGACCCAGATGTCAGAGAGGAATGGTGGACTGATGGATACAGAATACATTTTGAATGTGTATGACCTGAATTTCATAGCAAACTGGATTTATTTTATTATTGAGGGAGTATAAAAATAATGCTTGCACCATCATTTATTTATTGAGTGCCTTTAAAATGCCTGATCTCCTGTAATCCAGGCAGGCACCGTTATTCCCAATTTACTGATAAGGGATCACTGAGATGTTAAGGAACTCCTCTCAAGTCACACAGCTGGAGATAGGAGGGATGAGGCTGGTCTAGGACCTGAGAATGGTCTCCCTCCACAGCCGTTACTTGCATAGGAGCCTTTGTGGGAGATGGTAAAGGGGAGGGTCAAGAGCTAGAAGAAGATGGGGAAGATGACTAGTAAATGAGCTGGCCAAGGGACAAAGCAAGGAGAGGAGGGATAGGGGACGTCCTCAGCCTTGCTGGGCCTTGGCTTCAGTCCCGGGGCGCCTTCTGTTGTGTGGAAGTGGGAGGGTCTGTGGTCTCACAGCACATATAGGCACGGTGTAGGGAGACACTTCCATTCCCCAAATACCAAGCTGCTTCCCACCGCAGGGCCTCTGCACTTGTACTAGTTTCTCCCTCTGAGACGAATGCCCCTGTCCCCTCACATCACCTGGCTGGCTCCCTTGCTCCTATAAACCTCAGCAAAAACGTCACAGGTGGCCTTGGCCTTGGCCCCAGGTTTCTGCAAGAGTGGCTCCTTATGAAATGCCACCGCCTGGCTGAGGTCCTGCCTGCCTATCCAATTTAGAGCAGCACTCTGCACCTCTCACCCCAATTCACTGCCAGTGGCCGTTCCTGATTCCCCTTTCACCATTCTCTTCTCTTATTGTCTCCTCTCCCAAAGCTGGTTCTGTGAGAGTAGCGTTTTGTGTGTCGTTTCCACAGCGTCCCCCCAGACTTAGGACAGCAGCTGGAACTCAGTGGGCACAGGATAGAATTTTGCTGAGTGGTAGTGAGGGAAAGGAAGGAACAAAAGGTGACTCCTGGATTGGAGGGGCTGATGCAAACACTTTTTAGCCAGGTGACTTCAAAGAAAAAGCACGTTTGGGCAGTGGGCCAACCTGAGCCAAGGGTTGGAGGTGAGGAGTTGCAAGCCAGGTGTGGGAAGTAGATCCTCGGTGGCTGGTGGGGAATATGCCTGGGAGAGAGACAGGGGGTTTCCACAGGATTAAAAAAAAAAGTTACAAGCATTTTTGCCCTATTGTAGCAGAAGCTTGTCACAGAAAGAAAGACATTTGAGAGTGGGGAAAGGAGGATGTGGGCGCTTCCTTATCAATGACTACAGAAAATTACAAATAGAAGGCAAGATATCTGGCATGCCACTATGTGCCACCAAAATCATTAGGCAGAGATGAATTATAAATGAGAAAGAAAATTTAATGAGAATTGTCACACCAGAGCAACCTCAGGAATGATAAGAGAATGCATGAGAAAGAGCTTAGGATAGAAACAGCTTGATTAATAAGAACCAGCTGCAGGCCCAGCATTTCATCTCATTCTGCTGTCAGGCCACAGCTTTCGGGTTTTTAATAGCAGAATCTTTTTCCAAGTTCAGATTCTCTGGGTCCAACTCAATGATCTCATATTCCTTTGATAATGAGACATACCGTCAGAAGCTCACTGTGTGGAGTAGACATTGTTTTTTAACTGCAGGGAGAAAAATGAGTAGGGGAAATGGATTCTAAAATCTTAAGCAATTGTACCGAAACCGGTTTGGCTCAGTGGATAGAGCGTTGGTCTGTGGACTAAAAGGTCCCAGGTTCGATTCCGGTCAAGGGCATGTACATTGGTTGCGGTCACATCCCCGGTAGGGGGTGTGCAAGAGGCAGCTGGTCGATGTTTCTCTCTCATTGACATTTCTAGCCCTCTATCTCTCTCCCTTCCTCTCTGTAAAAAATCAATAAAATATATATTTTTTAAAAATCTTAAGCAATTGTGCTCAAGGGAGTCCTAATTGACAATAAAGTTACCCCAAGACAAACTGCATACAAGGAAAGGGGATGTTTGAACCCTATAGCACCTCTTCTGGAAGTCCGTTAGAACCTGCCTGTCATGGAAGAACATATCAAACTTAAGGAACAATTCATGTTTTTAAAAAAAAAAAATTCCCTAAAACCAGATGTTGTGGCCCTAGCCGGTTTGGCTCAGTGGATAGAGCATCGGTCTGCAGACTGAGGGTCCTGGGTTCAGTTTCAGTGAGGGGCACATTCTTTGGTTACAGGCTCCTCCCCGGCTCAGGCCTTGGTCGGGGTTCAAGCAGGAGGCAACCAATCAATGTGTTTCTCTCACATCGATATTTTTCTGTCTTTCCCTCTCTCTTTCACTCTCTAAAAATCAATGGGAAAATATCCTCAGGTGAGGATTGAAAAAAAACCTAACCAGATTGAAAACAAAACAAAACAAAACAAACAAAAAAACAACACCTAACCAGATATTATGCAATAATAAATGAACTTAATATAACAAAAAATTAAGGGAGTAAGGTACACTTCTGCTCCAGAACATTTTAAATTCCAAAAGGAATTTTTGGATCTTAATATACATCGGAGGTACAAAGGCCAGCCGTGTCACAGATGGTCTCAAAGCACTGATTTTCCCTTGATGTTTTGTCCCCTTAGATACTCCAGTCTCATGTGCATCTCACCTGGCCACTTTATTCGTGAGAGAAAACTAAAGAAAGATAGAGATGTGAATAAGTTCATCTGCAAAACAAGAGCTACCGAAAGGATTAAAGGGGGAGAATGCTATCAGACTAACCCAAATGCTGTTTTCACCTTCAGCATTCAGTATTGAGCTTTTTGCTGGTCTAGTTCTACAGCAGCGCAGTCATAGTAACCACATTTTTGCAAGTTTTATATTCAAACGTAGGTTACTAGCTGTATGTAGTCCAGGTGCGAAATCATACGAAGCCTTAATTACTGTCACTTTTGATTATACCTTTCACCTTCCACTAGCAAAGGGCTGGGACTCAACACGGTTGTGGAGAGGTTTCTGGGAGCCGCAGGGCGTCACAAGATAACTCAACTTGTTGTTAGTAACTCAAGGGCAGAGGGACTTTCTTCCAGGACCCCAGAGCAGCGATTTTCAACAGGGAGGATGAGATGCGGGGGACGGCAAGACCTTTTTTCAGTGCAACACCTGACTACTTAGGGGCACTGACCTCTTTTCCGTTAGATTGCAAAATTTTTAAAAATGGCAACAGTCAACACAACAGCCCATCTGTTGTGAATGAATCAAAATTACACTTTTTTTTTGTCAGATGGGCAAAAACATCATTTTTTGATGTACACAGAATTTTAGTAATTGTGTGCCATGAGGTGAAATAGGTTGAAAATCGCTGTCCTAGACCTTCGCCTCCCAGCTGGAATGAGGAGCTGCAGGAAAGAAAAGGTCAAATCCATTAATCACTGGAGTGATAGAGACCAAGGCCCAGCCCCGGAGCAGGTGGTAGGCCCCTGAAGCCCCGCCCCCAGAGGAGGCGTGGCCTGGGGGCAAGGGTGTGTGGGCGGGGCCGCTCCTCCACCCAGAGCCGGCTCCTCACGGGGGCGGGGCCTGAGAGCCACCACGTGGTGGAAGGGGCGGAGCCTCAGCCAGAGTTTCCAGAGGAGCCACGACAGCGGCTCCAAAGCCACGTACAGGGCCAGGCCTCCCTCCTCTCACCTGAGCGAGGCTGGGCTGGCCCGGGGCACTCGCGGGCCTCCGTTTCCACACCAGGAATCGTTTGAGCCAGCCTGGGGCTGACTCTGGAGTGGCAGTAGCTTCCGCCTTCTCTCCCGAGATTTGTGCGCTCTGCCTGGAAGTGCCGGGTTCGGCCGCCAGCCCGGCCCGCCTCCGGGCCTCTCGGAACTCGGCTAACCGCTGTTCCATGGCGTGCGCCTCGCTTCCTGGGAGCCCAGGAGCGCGCCCGCCCGCTAGGAGCCGGCGCTGCGCGCGGCCCGGCGCCAGGCCGCAGTGCGCCTGCGCAGCGCGGTTGTGTGCTGAGCATGCGCACTGGGCACCGGGTCCCAGCGTGCGCCGGCTTTGTGACGTTCCGTGGGCCCTCCGAGCGAATGCCACTCCGAACGCACGTGGATGCGGTGTCCACCTCCTCGGCACAATGGTGAAGAATCTGAAGCTTAAGGACTGCTCCATCCTTCCTCTCTAGCCCCAGGCTCCTGGGGAGGAGGTGGGGAGGCGGTTCCCATGTGCTCCATCTCAGTTCAGGGATCTGCTCCTCAGCGGGCGAAGCTTCCTGCAGCAGGGGCCAGATTGGGAAAGGTGGTCCCAGAGCACTGAAGAAGGTCCATGATCTCTGGGAACAGGATACAGCCTCCCTTTTTAACGAGTATGCCAGTCAGTACTTGGAGGGTGGCTTTCTCGCTGCTTACCTGGCAGGCAGGCAGGCTCTGCAGACTGCTACCATTGCTCTTGCCACCATGCGCCCGTGGGTGCATCTAGATAGGCCAGAAACTTGAAGACTTATTGGGGTGCAGCTTAAAATGAACAAATCTGTAAGTGTATGGCTCAGTAAGTTTGTAATTATGCATAAAGAACTGTTCTGGCACGCTGAGGGCCCCCTTGCCCTCTTCCAATCACTACTCACCCAGAAGTTTACATTTCAGGTCAGGGACTGCTAGGTAATACTACTTTTAAAGCTCTAAGCATCTGGTTAAGTGCCGCTCACATAATTGAGACTCAAATATTTTTTGGATCTTTCTGAATTTGAGTCAAGAATTTAAAACTAGGATGGATTCTTTTGTTCATTAAACAAATGCCAGGTATTGTATCTGGCACTGGAGATGCTGGAGTGAATAAAATCAATCATGTTTTCTTAGTGCTTACATTCTGAGTGGAAAGACAGACAACCAAATGCATAGCTGCGTATTTACATTAAGTGCAGTGTCTGCTGGTGAGTGTTATGAAGAAGAGTAAAGTCAGGAACAGGAATGGTGGCCATGTTGGGAGTCAATGACCAGAAAAGACTTGGTTGACGAGTTGCTGTTGGAGCAGAGCTCTAAATGAAATATCCAGAGTCACATATCTGGAGGAGAGTGTTTTAGAGAAAACAGCAAGTGCAAAGATCATGCGACCTCAGGTAGTTTGCTTGACCTCACAAAACATCAGGGAAGCCAGTACAACTGGAGGAGAGGGAAGGAGGGACAGAATGGTAGGAAACACAGATGCACAGGTATCAAGGGCCAGATCATGTGAGATCTTATAGGCCATGATAGACACTTTGTGGTGCGTTTGGAGTGTGATAGTAAATGACTAGAGGATTCTGAGCAGGAGATGACATAATGCCTTTTTTAAGAATTGATTCCAAATAGAAGAAAGGAGAGAAAGAGAAAGATCGATGTGGGAGAGAAACATCAATTGGCTACCTCCCGAATCCGCCCTGATGGAGATTTGAACCCACCACCTTTTGGAGTACGGGACGACACTCCAACCAACTGAGCCACACTAGCCAGGGCTGACATTTTTGAAGACTTCACTGGCTGCTGGAGGTGGAGCCATGGAATAGTGCAAATGTAGGAGGGAAAAGATAGAGGTATCAGAGAGACTCTGACTCTTTGGGCTAGAGTGGTAGTGATAGAAGTGGTGAGAATTCTCCAATTCTGAATATATTTTGAAGATTTGAACCAGCATAATGTGCAGATGGGTTGAATGTGGAGTATGAGGAAAATGAATCAAGGATAATGGATTTTTAGGAAAAAGGTGGGGGAAGGGATGACAGATTTTTGCCACACCACCTCCCCACTCACATCCTAAACAAAGGATTGATGCTGGGACACCCCCTCCTGAAATGGGGGAAGATCAAGAAGAGAGGATTATGGAATAAACGTAGATAGTTTTATTTGGGACATGCCAAAATAATTTGAGATGCCTATTGGACATCCATTATAGGCAATTGGATAGTAAAAACTAAAAATCAAGAAAAAGTCAGGACAGGAGATACATATTGGGAGTCATCAGCATATATATATGGATATATATATATATATATATGTTATTTAAAGCTGCAAGATAACTAGATGAGATAACTAGAATGTGAGTGTGGATAGCAGAGAATATATTTTAGGATTGAGCCCTGAATAATTAGAGGTAGTTTGTAAGATGAAAAGAATGGTCATTATACTATGATCACCTCTCTGAGCAATCACAGAGAAAATTTCTTGCCCATCTTGGTGTCAAGGGTAGGTCTGCTTTGCTCTCTCTTTCTCTTCCTTTGTTTTTTTTCAGTTTATACATTTATTCTAGAAATCTCCTTTCAGTGTCTTGGGGCCAGATCTGTTGGTACAAAAAGAAAAGTTTACCAGGTAAAGGGGATAGGGGTACGCCGAACTCCAGGAAGTCACAGACAGGTATCATAGAAAACACAACTGGTGTAGATTAGTTTAAAAAGTTATGGAGCCCTAGGCAGTTTCGCTCAGTTGATAGAGCCTTGGCTTGCCAAAGGGTCCTGGGTTCGATTCTGGTCAAGGGCATGCACCTTGGTTGCAGGCCCCTCCCTGGCCCGGGCCCTGGTCGGGGCTCATGCAGGAGGCAGCCAATCGATGTGTTTCTCTAACATCAATGTTTCTGTTTTTCCCTCTCTCTCTCCCACTCTCCCTAAAAATGAATGGAAAAATATCTTCAGGTAAGGATTGAAAAATAAGGTGTGATGGAAGGAAAGCCAAGGAAGATGAGCCAGGCATCACCTAGGATTTTTACTGGCATCTACCAGGTGCCAGGTTCCACCACGGCAGCATCCCAGTCACAGCACGTGTGTTGGCTCTGTCCTTCAGCCCTCCTGTGGAGCATCCAGACTGAGGATAATCAGGGCAGAGACTGCTGCCAAAGGCTGGGCCATCTTACTTTGGAGATAGGAGAATGGGCATAGAGAACAGTAGATCTGCTTCTCGTGAAGGATTAGAGTCTCTCATTGATTGTGTTTCCCGCTGGATAATCACACTGAGACCTTGGAGCTGTATTTATGGTCTCCTAGTAGGCATTAGACTTAAGGCATAGGATTTGTGGGCTGTTGCAGTCAAGGTCCCTGACAGGAAACATGGCATCTTTAAAGGGGTTACCTAAAGAGAACGTCATGAAGGAGTTAAGTTACAAACGTATGGAAGGATTAAGGACGCTAACAAGGGATGGTTCCCAGGAAGTGTGACCAGCCTCTAGGCCTTAAGCAGAACGAGGACTTAGCAGATGAGTAATCATCAGAACCCAGCAAGACCTGTAGCTATAGGAGAAGCTGGAGACGAGAGCCCTCGAAGGAGCAGAGAGAGCCCTCAAAAGAGCGGAGAGCAGAAGGGTGGGGAGAGAATCAAGAACAATCGGGCAATATCCAGCCAAGTGCAGTTGTCATCTGAGCTCCCATCTTGCTCTGATAAACTTTATTTCCCCTTTGCTTTATTCTCTGACTTATTGTAAATTTTTTTGATGCTTTGTAAACTTTTTAAAACTCTCTTTGGAAGAGGTTAAAAGAATGGAAAAAAGTAGAGATGATCATGAAAGAATAACTCCTACTGAACTAACTTCATTTCCTTTTGGATTAAGATTATGAGACTAGTAAATAAGCAGGATCTCAAAGTATACTTATAATGTGTAAATTTAATTTTTATTATTAAATATTTTGTACATAGCCGAAACCAGTTTGGCTCAGTGGTAGAGCGTCGGTCTGCTGACTGAAAGGTCCCAGGTGCGATTCCGGTCAAGGGCATGTACCTTGATTGCAGGCACATCCCCAGTAGGGGGTGTGCAAGAGGCAGCTGATCCATGTTTCTCTCTCATCGACATTTCTAGCTCTCTATCACTCTCTCCTACTCTCTGTAAAAAAATCAATAAAATATATTTAAAAAAATATTTTGTACATAACAAATTATGTGTATACATGTATGTCATATTTATAAGTTGTAAATACTAAAATACCTATATGCCCTGTGATATTCAGTCTTTGGCCTCAATTTTTTACTCTTCCTTACATCCATGCCATAAGGAAAATATATAAGGACAGAGTATACTTCCCTATTTCTTGACTTTATTTATTTATTTATTTACTTATTTATTTATTTAAGTTAACTCTCACCTAAGGGTATTTTTTCCATTGATTTTTTTTGTATTTTTTTTGTTTTTATTTATTTATGAATTTATTGCCACTTTATTGTTCAATGAGAGAGATACATTGCTTGATTGATTGCTTCCCTCATGCGACATGACTGGTGCTGGGGATTCAACCTGCAACCAAGGTACGTGCCCTTGACCAGACTTGAACCTGAGACCTGTTAGTCTGTTCAGGCTGATGCTTTAACCACTGAGCCACACTGGGTAGGACCCTATTTGAACTGCACCTTTCAGGTTGCTTTGGTCAATGGGATAATGGCCGATGTTATGCAAGCAGGGGCATGAAGTGTGTTTGTCCTGTTGGGGGCACCCACTGAATACTTTGCACTGCCATGAGATGAACTTGCATCAGCTAGCCACCTGGTCCCAGAATAATGAGTCACATGGATATAGTCACCCAGCTGACCTGCATACCTGCAGTTTAACGCTGAGCTGCCCAGCTGAGCCCAACCTGAAGGAGCTGATCCCAGCTGACCCAAAAATGTATGAAAAATAAATGCTTATTTTATATCACAGAAATTTTGTAGGTTTCTTTGGTTACACAGAAAAGGGCCACTACTCAAGAAAAAGAATGTTTCTTTGTGTGCCTGTAGTCCATTCCTGAGTACTTTCCACCCCTTCATTCTATTAATACAGTGAGTAACTTTAATAGATTTTCTATTAAACTACCCTACATTCTTGGAATTAAAAAAACTCAGTGACTTTATTTCTTTTTAATCTTTATTGTTGAGAGTATTACAGATGTCCCTCCTTTTTATCCCCATTGCCTTCCTCCACCTAGTTCCTGCCCCACCCCAGGCCTTCACCATCTTATTGTCTGTGTCCACAGGTAAAGCATACAGTATATGCATATAAGTTCTTTGGTTGATCTCTTCCAGCACCCCTATTCCCCCTTCACTCCGAGGTTCATTAGTCTGTTCCATGTTTCCAGGCCTCTGGTTCTGTTTTATTCACCAGTTTATTTTGTTCATTAGATTTCTTGTTTGTTTATTTTGTTTTTTAGATTCAACTGTTGATAGATATGAATTTATTGCCATTTTATTGTTCACATTTTCCCCTTCTCCTCCTCCTCCTCCTCCTCCTCCTCCTCCTCCTCCTCCTCCTCCTCCTCCTCCTCCTCCTTCTCCTCCTCTCCTACCTCTCCCCCCTTTTTCCTCCTCCTCCTTCCTCTTCTTAAAGAATACCTTCAACATTTCATGTAATACTAGTTTGGTGGTAATGAACACCTTTAGCTTTTTCTGAAACTCTGTTTCTGACCTTCAATTCTAAATGCTAACTTTGCTGGTTGTAGGTCTTTGCTATTCATCACTTTGAATATTTCTTGTCACTCCTTTCTGCCTGCAAAGTTTCTTGAGAAATCAGCTGACAGTTGTATGGGTGCTC